GATAGGACAATATTTGGCCGAGATACAACTTTTTGAAAATCTGGAATCTGAGGGTGCAAAAAAATCTAAATATTGAGAAAATCATCTTTAAAGTTGTTCAAATGAAGTTCTTAGCAATGCATATTACTAATCAAAAATTAAGCTTTGATATATTTACGGTAGGAAATTTACAAAATATCTTCATGGAACATGATCTTTACTTAATATCCTAATGATTTTTGGCATAAAAGAAAAATCTATAATTTTGACCCATACAATGCATTTTTGGCTATTGCTACAAATATACCCCAGCGACTTAAGACTATAAGACTACAAATAATTACGGCACTTAATACACTGAATATAGCGTAAAATGACTGGAATTGTATTTTCTCGCAAAGCCTACTCCAATAATCTATTTTATTTACAACCTTTACGGTATTTTTAACAGTCCTTGTCGATATTTGACACGTTATGTTTTACTGTTCTATGAAAATAAAACATTTGAAACATTTTATTTGTGAGTTCTAAAATGTTTGTATCGCGGTGTTTTGATAAATACTATTATACTGTACCATATTTAAAATACCACGGTATTTAATCTGAATAAGTATGGTATTTTTGTAAATGTACATCTATGCATTTGGCAAGACACTTACCCAAATTGACTTCAATTGCATTTCAAGGCATACATTTTGATTAAAAAAGTAAATAAAATTAATGTACATTTATTGTTTTTGACAAGAAAATAAAGCATATGATTTGAATAGCTCTTTGCCAAGTATAGTGTATTGTGTTATGGTTCAAGAAACACCAATATGCTTAATATGATCAGAAAATACAATAATAAATCATTTCACAGAGAACCGAAAAAACACATCAGAAAAAAAAAGTCAACACGTGTTATGAAAAAAATCTACCCTTTTATTAAAATATATTTCCAAAATCATTTCTGTGTTGTCATGAAAAAAACGTGTCATAAAAAAAACAAACAGAATTTTCCCTATGTGTTTGTAATATCTATGCTTAGATAAACTCATATTACTGGCGCTGTACAGAGACGAGATGCATAGGAATGAGTGTCAGGACTATTGCTCTGATTATATAGTGATTCATAGAGTGATATTTGGTGTTTCTCCACAGCTCAAGCATTTAAAAATGATAGGCCTCTTCTTTTATTGATCCCTAAAAATGACTGTCATCATTTACTCATCCTTAAACCCATAGGAGTGTGAATGAATAATAGCTATAAATGTTCATGCTTGGGTGAACTATTGGTCTAAAGCAGGGGTGCACATAAGTGGTACGCAGGTGCGCATGCGCGACCAAAATAAAAAATGCGCAGTGTAAATAAGTTCTGACAGCACATTTGCGTACGAATGCACAATTAGCATTTTAGATCGACACACTGTACTTTATAAGATTTCTATTCAAAAGCATAAATCTAGGCTACCCGCTGCCGTTTTCAAAGCACAATGCAAAACTGTGACATTTCATTCACTGATGCACTTCAGTCAGCGGCGCTAAACCCGGAAGCGCATATACTTACTTGCCGGCAACCTGCCAAAATAAAAGCCTGCTGATTTAAGGTTGAAAATTTTAATTAAAAAAATAAGTAGTAGTAGTAAATATTATTAGTGGTCGACCGATACTGGTTTTTTGACAGCCGATACCGATGCCGATATCTTGGAAAGCAGGGTGGCCGATGGCCGATATAATTGTATTTTATTTAATATTTAAGAAATTTAAAATCATTTGAAAATGGATTTAAAAAATAAATGTGTAAAATCAACATGCTTATACTTTAAATGACAAAGTATTTTTCACAAATAAATAAATATTTAATAAAAATATAATTAAAAAGGAAGTAAACACTGTAAGGGTCACACTATGTGCAGTGTGAGGACCAAACCAAATCTCCAGGTTCTTCTTATGAAACTTATGTGCACCCCTGGTCTAAAGCATTTCATTGCTTTCTGATGGATATATTAAAGTGTCATCAGTCTGGTGCACTAATAAGCAAACATCTTTCCATGTTACTGTTGTGAATCCAGAGAGACGGAGAGTCTGAAGGCCAGAGGAACGTGATCCGTCAGTCCGGCCAGCTGCGTCACATACGTGAACTCCTCCAGCTCCTGAAACACAGCAAACACTTCAGCTCCCATTACTGCATTTAAAACCTCCAAGTACTTCATCAAGGGTGCATCTTTTATGGCACAAAAGAAGAAAAAAAAAATCTGGCCCAAATATATTCGAAATACATGCTAAATATATGTCGTAAACCGTGAAGCTCAATGAAATATAGTTAATTTTGTTAATATTTTTAATTTGATTTGATTTTCTGATTTCATGGTAATTTGTTTTTGTCATTTTTAGTAGTTTCTGTTGTTTTTAAATGTCTATATATATATATATATATATATATATATATATATATATATATATTTCATTTTTTTTTTTTTC